ACGCATGTTTCATCATCTAGAACACAGAAATGACAGGAAGTTAGCGCCTTGGCCATAAATATAAAAAATTATGGTTAGTACCTGCATTATTTGAACACTGACACAGCCGCATCCTACTGATTGGTTCATCTACAGCTGCCTGCCTTCATGACATCTTCAATGAAAAACCTTTTAAAAACCCCATCCGGAAACAACTCTTATCGTTCGATGCAAAACGTAGCAACATGAAAGCCAAAAAAGCTGTTTGGTCTGATAATGTACGATGCGTTTTAACAGGGTAGAATAACACATGGATGCACAAAGGCCTTTGATGTGAAAGATGAAGCGTTGCAGAAGAGATGTCCTGTTACCCAGAAGCCCCCGCTGTGACCGCGACCGCGTCTGCTACACTGTCATTCCCCTTTCAGGTCACTGGCCAGCAGCACCCTGTCGATGTATCTTCACTCTGTGCATGTGTGTTTTTCTTTTTTTTCCCCCACTGGGGAAAGATGAATGTACACAGTGTGTGTCTGCGTCTCTAAGTGTGTCTTTGTCTCAGCTGTGGCTCTAGGTGTCCTCTCTCTAAGCTCTATCGCTCACTCGCTTCCATTAAACGGCTGGGTGAGATTCAGCTCCGAGCCACTCCACATTTAGACATGTCTTCAAACTTTGGTGGAATACTTCCTCCAAAAGCAGAACACTTGTGACCAGGCTGATAAGGTGCGTGAAAAGCACAAGGATGAAACGATAGTTCTGCTCTAAAAGCTAGTGCTTTCTAAAGCATACTTTGGTTTTTATGCGCACACTAGTGTATGCATAGCGTGCGTGACAAATTTCATCATCAGCATAGTATAGTACAAATGTACTGTATGCACACAGAATTATTTTTTTTCTATTTGCACATATGTTATTTGCTCATCACATGTGACTTTTTCAAGGTAAGACGAAATAAACAACTAAAGACCGCAACAAATATAGACATCTGCTTTGATGAGCACTTGTGTGAGTTGAATTAAGAGATAGAAGCAAATCTAGTTTAAATACAAGACATTTTTTCTGTCATAACTTCTGGAGAGAAATAGCACAGACACTGGTGTGCATGTGTCAAGCGTCTGTGTTCATGCATGCAATCAAATGGAGCATATCCCAACACACTGTACAATTTATGGTCACATATTTTTCCAACAATTTAATACTTTGTGTTTCGTAAAAAACTACACAGAAGCATTTTACATTTTCCATTTGAAGGAATTGACTTTTCAAATGTGCCTTTAAGAATGTGTTGTCGCTAGATCTAGAACACTTAAGGGTATACACTCAAAACACTAATTTCCCTGATTGGTACAATGCAATATGGTTCAGAAACTGAATTATTTTTAAAATTACATTGCATCTTACTTGATGCAATCATGACACTAAAAATACAGAGAGATGGCCAAACTGTGAAGAGACATGAACTAATCCTGTGTGTACAGCCACCAAGGCATGGACTGTAATTACTGTAACTGTAATGGAACCTCATAAACTACCAATTAGGAATGCTTTACATGGATAGCATCTCCATGCGTCCGACAGACAGGGTGAAACACATAGGAAAGTAATGTGACAATTAATTCCAAAAGAGTCTGACTGTAGCATACGGTTATGATAAACACTCAATCCAATAATAAAAATACATATGCTGGGTAAAATTTCACCAAAACTGGATATATTATTTTTGCCTATTGTTTAAAATGGCCTCAGCATAGGGGAGCACGCCTTATGCCTTAAAAAGCTGACTAGGTAGACAGCTCACTAGGGTTTGGAATGGAGCTTATGAACACAGATGCTGTAGATGTCTCTGGAGTTTGTCAAGTGTCAAGTGTTGTTGTAGGCTACCATCCCAAGCACAATCCATGATTTTCCTCCGTGGAAACCCAGGAGGGAGCCAAGGCAATGAAAAGAAGTCAATAATTTCATTTTGTTCTCGGCTTTCTATCTTTACATGACACACTGTGCGCACAAAATATTATGAATTACCACAATGCAGTCTTTCCTCTAGGATTCCAACGGACTGAAGGTTGGCGGCTGATTAGACTGAAAGATAAACCTGTTTTGGGTAGACAAATTAAAGCCTGTGATCAGCAAGAAGCCTAAAATATGAACTGTGAGCAGATGGAGAGCTTTGAGTCTACAGATTTCTCTTTCCCTTTCCTTTAAATTCCCACTTGATCATGCGTAACTTCCAACCTCTCTCATGTTTTATTCAAGGGATGTTCAGGGTCGTTCTGCCTGTCAATTAACAGTTGTTTCGACTAAGTAGAGGCCTTGTGAAGCGTTGAGAGCAGAGCCTATTCGACACTAAGAGAACTTAAACTGGCGGTTAAATTAAGCCCAGGCTTTTAACTACCCCACGAAGATGTGTCTATAGGGATGCAACCGCATGAGAGATGAACAAGTTTAGACAGTCACAAGTGGCCTGAGGGGTATGTTTCTCGATTTTTTGGGGGCTAATTCTGTGAAAATGAAAATTCTGTCATTTACTTATACTAATGTCATTCAGAACTTGTATGCTGTTATTTTTCTGTGAAACAAAAAAGGACATTTTTGAAGAATTGGCACACAGCTCTTTTCCATACAACAATTCAAAGCAATCATGTATGAGAAGCTAGAGAAAGAAAAAAAAACACTATAAAGCATCATAAAAGCAGTCTATGTGACTAATATGCTCTATTGCGTTTAAACCATTATTCAGCAATAAACTTTCCCTCCAGCAGGCTGTGAATTAGTGTGCTAAACTCCAAACAAAATCAGTCTGATTTGTGAATCAGATCAATCAGATCATAGAAAAGAACTGGACCAACAGAATGATTTATGTACTGATCCGGTTCCTGAATTCAACACATGATATATGGACCACCTTTATGTATGGAAATCAGCTGTCAATATTCTTAAAAAAAAGCCTCCTTTTCAAGTTACACAGAAGAAAAAAAACACCATCAGGGTTTTGAACGAGTAAATAAGAGTTTTTGAGTGAACTATTACTTTTAAAGTGCCCTTTTCAAATCATTTTATTATGCAGAAAATACAACTCTATAATTTGGGTAAATTAAGATTCAAAAAGGTCATTGTGCTTTTTCAGAAATGAAAACAAACGACCAAGCAGCACTTGGTTTAAGAAACATATATATTTTTTTACAATATACAATTATTTTGATCAATTATTATCTTTCTTTTCTCCTCAAAGGAAATAACACAAATACACAAAATGAAAAGACAGCGCTTGAGTTATATGTAAATTAGACCGGCATCATGACCCTTCATTCATTATTATACAGTATTCCTTCATGGACCGCGTGTTCATTCAGTGTCTTACATGCAGTGCTGAAAGACTCTAGATCATCAGGTTCCTGAAAAATGAGGTTCCTGTAAATGAAGGTTGCGCCGTATCGCTGAGTCTGAAAGTGCATTTAGTCTTAATTAAAGTCCTAAATGAGCACCCTTTTCAGCAGCCCTTCCAAAAACCATGCAATGACTAAGCATACACACTCATGCAGATTCCCAGTGCTTAGTAAAAAACTATGCGAAACCCCCAAAATTAATGAAAAAGCCCAAAATTAAAACAGATCTGCATGAAATATTTAAGTGACATGGTTTGGATTCAAAACAGAAAATTTGGACTAAAGGCAAGTGGTTCTCAACACCAAGCTCATTTGTACAACACCATTCAAACTATACTTTCTTTTTCAGGTCTTCCTCATTTATGGGCATTGTGCAATGCAATTTCCTGATATTAAGTTTTTTTTAAATCTGTATTCATCAAGTGGCTCTGTAATTTACTCTGTAAATTCAGTATTCGGTGCATATGCACAAAACGACTAATTGATTCACTGGATCGGTCCCTATGGATCGGCAGTCGTGTTCATATCAATTCCAGAGCAGACAGATACGATCATCTCCACGCTCCCATCAATCGCACAGTGCAATGTAGAGAGAACAAAGAGAGCGACAGATGAGCCTTGTCGGCGCTTTCTGCTCAATTGCTTGAGTGATGGGGCAGGCCCATTGTTCATTTCAATTACCATCCGGCTGCCAGCACACTTGTTTGAACAGTGATCAGTGCTGTGGGTGAATTGGTTATGCCTGTCAGGCCCTGTCTTCAGAGTCAATGAAAGTCAGAGTGTAAGACAAATTAGAATGTATGTTCTCAAGACCTGCAAGTGGTTGCAACGCATCACCCTCTTTCCTGAGGGCACCGTCACCTTTCTTGAAACCGTTTGCTGCTTTCAGGTGCTCTAATATGATTTTTCTTCTCATTATCATTGGCCTTTTATTTTTGAAGTGCATGATTGCCAGGGAGCCGCAAAAGCACTTGGGCATGTTACAAGGGGCATGCTGTTGGTTTTTCCACTGCGTGCTGGGATCGAAGCGTGAGAGGGAGATCCTTTTAGAGCACATGTCTGGAAGGATTCCTAGAGCAAAGACAAAGCCAACACTGGAGCAAAGGGTGGAGAGAGAGCGAGAGAGAGAGAGAGACAAAAGAAAGACTACAATAGGCATCCAAAAAAGAAAGAAAAATTAGAAAACAAGGAGAACAAAAGGAAGAGAAAGGAAACAAGAGGCAGACAAACATTCGGTAGAAAGAGAAGAGTGGGAGAATCAGTCGTTGCAGCATGGAAGAGCACACTCTTAGACCACTACTCACACTTGAGGTTTAGGTGCAGAAAGTGCCAAACTACAAAAATGCCTGCCTGAAAGACGAGTAAACTAATCTGCCTGAAACAGATAGTAACAGATTAGTTAAAAAAGGACAATTCTGTTATCACTTGCTCACCCTCCTGTTTGACTCCTTCTGTGAAACATTAAAATTAATCAAAGTCAATGGTGTCCAATGTTGTTTGGACCCCAGCGCTCTTCAATATATCTTGTGTTCCACAGAAGAAAGAAATTCATATACCATGGTTAGAATGAAATCTGACCAGTGGTTCCCAACCTAGGGCCGGAGCACTCCTTAGGGGGATGTCAG